CGAGTGTCTTTAGTTGCGCTGTCGTGGCTGCTTTAATGTCCTGAATCAATTCAAAACGTTTACCTTTCATGGTCATTTTGACTTTGGGGAAGAGCCTGAAGCTGCATGGTGTGAGATCCGGTGAATAAGGTGGAGGAGGACACACCGTAATGTTTTCATTTGACAGAAATTTCCATATACCAGAAGTGATGTGTGACACGGAGCATTGTCATGATGGAGGATGAAATAGACACTCACGAAAGAGGACTTCCAGAACTGCTTCAGAAAGTGGCAAGAACGATGGGATAAGTGTGTCACAGCCAGAGGGAGTATTTTGAGAGGGGTGAATGGCAATGTGTCTTTTACTACTGTAATACACTTTTTTTAACTTAAACATTCACCGTACTTTGTGATCATACCTCATATGATTGAAGAACAAGAAGCTCTAGAAATGACCGAGTAAATAAAAAAGTGAGCAAAATACCCCTGGAAATGAAATGATGTCACACTAGACACAAAACAGATACAGCAAAGGGGCCGGCCGAGTGGCTCCGTTGGTTAAGAGCTCGCTCAAGAGTTTGAGCTCTGAGCAACAGCAGTTCGATGCCCAGCCCGAGCTGCCGCTGAGCTGCCAACAGGTGGCAGGATGGCTCAGCTAAAAAAACAAACAAACAAACAAAGAAAAAACAGAGCTGAATCAAGTGCACCTTGTTACAGAGCAGGTGTGTCAGCTGCGGACAGTGAGAGCTAAGACAGCGGACGAAGCATCGCGTGATGTATCACGTGAAGGAACATGCACAGGAAAGTGACATAAAGTTCTACCCGCTGTTCTGAGGGTGACTTGACTTGCTGAAATTCTCTGAGTCTTTAGAACAGGGATTCTCAACTCGAGGTGACTTTGTCCCCTCAGGGACATCTGGTAATGTCTGGGGGACATTCTGGGCTGTCACAGCTGAGGGTGCTACTGGCATCTCGTGGGCAGAGGCCAGGGATGCTAAAGAATATCCCACAGTGCCCAGGACGACCTCTCAACAGAGAGCGCCCCCCCACACTCCGTCATGCAAAGAAGCAGCAGCACGGGGCGGGGGAGGAGCAATGGGGGTACTGCAACGGGGGTACTGCTCTCCTAAGAGCAGCCCCAACGCACCACCGCTCCCCGGCAGCCAGGACGGAGCACGACGCCAGGCTCCGCGGCCGCGTTCAGATCACGGCTCCTGCGTTGCCCTGGGCCTGTCCGCTCTCCCCGCAGAGCGTGCTGTACTCCACGCTGACGTGCTGTGGACACTGAACGTCCAGCCCCCTTGTGATGCTGTGCGTACTGCGGCCACTGCCTAGGACATCTTTCCTGCCCTCGGGCCTCCACCTACCGGCCGCACCTCTTGCCCACATTCTCCACGATTCGCTCTTGCTCCTGGGGGCGCCCCCTGACACCCCTCCACACCACGACTGAGTTGGGGAGTCTATCCCTGGGGTCCCCGTTTCCCTTATCACAACTCCGAGCTTCTCTGTCTGCCTCTCCCGCCAACTTGGACACGCTCCGGAGCCGCTGTCTACAGCAGCTGGGACATGCTTGTTTAAAGGGATTTCAGACGATTATTTTCAGAGATTTGCTGGTTGTGAAAGCTGGTTCTCTGTAATTATTTCATCTCTGTAACAGGCTTATGAAATCTACAAAACAGACACAAGGAAGCCTGTCTCAGGAGGGGAAGAGACCGAGGCCTGGAGGCGAGCCGGCCGTCCACACTCATATAGGAGGAAAAGGTCTGGGTGTCCGAGTTCTCAGATTCTCCGCGTGTTGGGCACTACACCAGCTGCGATAAAAAGAAATCACAAGAGGGAGTGGCACCAAGAGGGTGACAGACCTCACTTCCCTACACAGTTACACTTGGCCCAGAAATGCCAACCTCCCACGGTCAGAGAATCTCACAAACAGAAGTCCGGGTGGCTGCCTCTCAGGACGGCTTTGGGGACACGCGCTGTGGGTGCCCTGGCAGCCCGCATGCTGTGCTCCAGAGGCAGAATGCCTAGGCTTTCTTGTGAAAAGTCTGGTTACTCGTGAGACAGCAGAGGGACCCCAAATTGAGGCTCATTCCATGCAGTCATGGCACTGAGAAAAAAAGGCACCCTGCTGGGCGTGCCAAGGGTAAGACATGAAAACATTTACGGCAGATGTTACGACTTGCCCGGTGTTTTCTAACCATGATATTTTTAAAGGGGCAAAGGAGCCATTCTTTCATTGGGAGGTGACAGCATCTGTAACTTTATCTCTGCTTACACATTGTTGTGGGTTGAGCTGTGTCTTCCTCCCTCTCCCCCACCA